GAACTTAGTGCTGCATGTAAATACCAGAACTGGAGTTTAAGTTTCAAAGTACGGGATCTGTGTAAATAAAAGTATCTCAACAAATTGATAGCATTTCCTATCAAATGGGTGTAGGGAGTAGAGCTGTCATTTTTACTTAGAAATTATGGCATCAGCACGTTCAAACTTCTCAGGTGTTGGCTTTCCAGACTTGCACAGTTACCTACCGTTACTTGATTTCCCCCTTAACTTTCCTGAGAATTTGGCAGCCAAACCATTTGTAGATCAACTTCTTTATTTTTGCATAATGGTACACAATCATACTATCTGCCTGGGAAAAACAAAGTAAATGACTTCCAGCTTTAAAATGAAATGTCTGTGCTTGTATGAAAGAATTCTTTTTGTTCTACATAAACAAAGTTTGACAGCTCGACAGGACTGAGAGCAGAATCTTGGTCTTTTAGTTCTTAAACTGGTAAATTTGACAAGTTTTAAACTTGTAAATGTAGTAATTACAGAGCATCAACAGGAAGGCCTAACAATGTTCCCTGTCTTCTGTAAACTGTTAATGCTTTGGAGCAAATAGTGAGGCTCTGAAACCAGAGCTGTTCCCGGGATACTCTGATATCCCACTGGGTAGGGGAAGAGTTGTTGCTCTGGGCCCGTGAGCTCTTGAGGTTGTGTTGCTGGTTGATTGTTTTGGTCCTCTCTCCTCTTGAACAGGAACCATGCCCAAGAAAGATAATAATAAATAAAGAAGGCAAAGTGAATTACATGCAGCCGAAGAAGGATTTTGACCAGAAAAAGGCAACAATACAGTTTCATCAGCCTCAGAGATTTAAGGTGGGATTGTTTCACTGGATATAATTGATGCTGGCTCAATAATGTGGTGTGTTTGAGTTGCACTAGGCATGGCTTCATCTCTGTGCCCAGGGGAAGTGGTTGACATTGATGACCTGCTGAAATCTTTACATGAGCTGTATTAAAACACAGTTTATACTTTTGCACTGTCCATCATGTTTCACTGCTCTGCAGTAAGAACAAAATCTGATTCATGCTATAATATGTGTAATAATATATTCTTTTTAAAATTTTGCTCTGTCACATAAAAGTTTGGAAAAAAAACCCACAAATGCACAAAATTGATGATTAGGCATCTGTGCCTAAATTATCCCTTCTGCCCCACTGTCTCCTTGTGCAAACTTTGTGGCTTTTGAGCCACTTCCCTTTAATGGAGGGTAAGGTGTGAAACCATGTGAAATATTTGCAGTGTTCTTGCCAGTGAATTGCACCATGGAAAGGTACCAGCCCATTTTAGCTGAGTGTTCTCAGTCCTTGAGTTTGAGAAGGAGACAGTGGTGCTGCACAGTTGTGTAAAGGACTTGGATTCTTGGAGGTGCTTTGATTCAGGTAGTCTTGAAGGTGTCAACACAATTGAATTGTGAGGTGGACCCAAATAAGATCCCAAATACAAGCTGAGTCCCAGGTATAGTGTTCCTGGCTGCTGTCAGCTTTAATGGCCAAGCTGCACTTGTGTGGATCTGGTACTTGGCACGTTCTGCTGTTTCCCTTCGGTGCCTTGTCTGTCACATGTGGGGTGTGGATGAGTCAAGTTTGGTTTTGAATATTCCCAAATGATTGGAGTAACTGGTGAAAGGTCTCTAACCTTTGTGTGTTCTCTCTGGTAAGAGAATGCAGGTCCTGCATGTGCTTATTGTCTTATGGTGTTCTGCTGTTTGTGGGATTATTTTCCTCTGTTCAGCCTTGTCTGTCTGGTTGTGCAGCCTAAAGATGGCACAGGGAAGAGAACAAACACAGGTTGGGGCACCAGACTTTTTGGCTTAGCAGTGACTCTCCTGGCAGATCCCCTTTGCATCTCCAGTGCTCTCCTTCAGGAGAAACACTGGTACAGAGCACCTTCCTTCCCAGCCTCTGTGTCCCTGATGTGATCATTCTTCCCAAGCCATGGGGAGGATGTGGGCTGGGCTTGCCTGAGCTCTTCAGCAAGTAACAGCATCTTTTTTTTTTACAGGAGGAGCTGGGGAAGATTCAGGAGAAGCTGGAGTGCTACTTTGGGTCTCTGGTGGGGTCCAATGTTTCCATCACTGCCCAGGGATCCCAGGGCCTTCCTCCTCACTATGATGATGTTGAGGTAGGACAGCACAACCTTGCCTGGGAAACTGTGCATGGGCTTTTGCTGATGGCAGTGTTTGCTGTTGTGTGTGTGCTTCTAACCCTCCCCCCACTAAACATTATAGGAAAATGTTTTTTTTTTTTATTTGTGTTTCCTTGTAGTCGTTTTTCTTACATATTTTTGCTGAAAATTTACTAATAGTAATATCTAATCATAATAGCATGTAAACTGGGTTTTCCAGACCTGGTATTTCCCTTAGATAAAAAGAGAAGTTTGTTTTCACAGCTGCAGAAGCTTTCTAGCACCTGTTTTTTCATTTTCACTTCATTCAGGCCCCAAGAATTTACAAGTCCTTTTTCCTTTACTAAGTACTTGCTCTTTCTTCAGCTGGACTGTAACAGCAGACTGGTTGTGCTTGTTGGTCCTGCTGTTTTTAAGAAGTTTCTGATATGATGAATTCCTGTGGTCCAAATGCATTTTAAATCAGCTTCTAAAAGAAACATACAAAGATACACTGCGTTATAAAGAAAAAATTGGACTATCCCACTTAAACCAAATCAAAAAATCCAATCCTTATATGTCTATTTTGCTTTTTAATATTTTCATTTCCATTCAATACACCTGGGGTTTCATTTTCCTTATGCTTGTTATTCAGCAGCCTCACATCCAGCATTTCTAACTCATGCCATCTACCCCCACTGGGCACCCTATAGAGGTTTCTGATGCTCTGTTGGGGATAAGCCTCTTCCACCTGAAATTTTGGCTATTTGTGTGGCAGATGTTCCTTTTGGGTTAGTTCTCTAGCACTTACTGAAGTGACTGGAGAGAAACAGGGATTTCCAAATGCCTGCCTTAGGATAAAACAGATCCCACTTCACAACTCCTCTGTCTGTTGTCTCTAAATAGAGACAAAAAAATGAGTTCAAATTTAAATTTCTCTGAATTGTAACCATCTAAAAATTAATGAGGGGAGGGTTTGCACACTGCGAGCACGAGAAATTTGGGTGAGAGTTGTCTGTATCCTTTTTTAAAGGTATCCTTTGCTTCTAGTATTTAAATAAGGGGCCAAAAACCCCAGTTATTTCTGTAAATTGACTAGTACTCTCCAGGTTGGGCACCCTGACTCCTAGGTCATGTTTGTGGAGTTGTGTGCAGAAAAAACACTGGGTTTGTGTATGGTTCTAAAACATTTTTATGCTTTTACATGCTGCCTGTAATCCCTCAGGCTAATCCTTCTGTGCACTGAGACTTACTGCTGCACTGAACATTGTCACTGTTCTGGTGAATGAGATTTAAATATTTATCCTTGGCTGATAAAGAAAAGCATGACCCAAACCCCATATAAACTTGCTGTATTAATTGCTCTTCCTTTTTCCAAACCTGAAATTCAAGTGTTTGGTTGGTGGTTGATTTTTGGAATGAAAGGAACATTTCATGAAGATTACTGAGTGTCAGCAGGGAATCTGGTGCTTGTCCTGTTCTGTTTGACCTGCTTTTGAAGTGTTACTTGTCCAGCTGGTGGTGCTGCTCCATGCTGGAATCCTCAGGAGTTTCTCTGCCTTTTGGCCTGTTATGGAGCCTCTCTCTGCTCTTCTCAGTGTCCAGAGCTGCATTTGGGTGTCGGTGTTTGAGGAATAGTGTGACATGTTGGATGGTGTAGGTGTTTGAGGAACAGTGTGACCCATTGGATGGGATGCTGACATCATGAGCTGTGTTGTTTGACAGAGGGGAATATTCAATCGTCATCGTGTACTGGGTGATGCAAAGTCTGGTAAACTACAGTTCCCTTTTTCATTCCTGGAATATTTTGGGCCAGACTTCAGTGCCTTTCATTTTTATGGAATAACGATGGGCTTAAAAGTTATCCAGGTTTTTAATTTATTTTTCTTCTGTTTGCTGTTGTTCACTTCCTGTGACCCATTTCTTCTGGGTGGCTGTGTCAAAGTTTGGTTGTCTCTTTGTGGCTGCCTCTGAGAGGGATGCTGTTGTTTGACTCTATTTCCTCCCTAAACATCTTTCTAGAATATTTCCTTTCTCCATCTTTCAAATGAAGAGAATTCAGAATACTCTTGGTTGGTGTAGTCCCCACTCTGGTAAGGAAGGCAGTTTTCTTTGACTGTGCTGTCCAACTCTGTAGGTGTTTACAGGACAAGCCACAAGTAAACTTTTATTTCCTTCTTGGAGGCAATTTTATGTGCTTTACACCTTTCTTGTCTTGACTTTCCTTATCTAGTTTTTTTTCAGTGTGGAGTTTTAATTTACATAGGTGAGAAGAAAGATAGGGAGGAGGAGGAGGAAGGTCGTACCTGTTTTTTAAGTGCTTTAACTGAAAATCTCAGACAACACTATTGTAACAGATTACCATTTTTATAGACTATTTGGCTTTTCTCGTGGAATACTAGCCTTTTCTTTTGATGTGATCTGACCAAATCCCCATTTCACTGCTCCTCTGCCAGCCCACTGTGTTGCCAGCAGGTCCATCTCAGCTGCTTCTTTGTCCTCTTCCTGCAGCTCAGTGGGAGTCTGTGTGTTCTGTGATGTTAAAAAGCTTGTTTCACCTTTTCAGCAAATATTGACAGCAGGTTGGAAAGTTTAAGGTTCTGAACTTCTGGCTTGGTGTTCTTTATGTTATCAAAGTGTACATTGCAGGACTGCTCCATTTTGTGATTCTAAAGGATATATATTGTCAGACTGTCTGCTCAGGGAGTATTTTCTCTGACTGCAATAAGGTTTGACCTGGTGCCCTAAATATATCAATTTTCTTGCAGCCAGGTGACTTACTGTATTTCCAAGAGGGACCATCCACCAAGCTGACACTCCTCTTGGGACCTCCCATTCCACACACGTGACCATCAGTACCTACCAAAACAAGTAATTATTCTTTATCTTTTGTTTTGTGTGGCTTTCCTCTGCCAGGTGATGTGTGTGAGCAGTACAGACCTGAGATGTGGTGAAGTTCTGGGGCTTGGGGGAAGGAGGGGAGCAAGAAGACTGTTGTTGTTTGAAGCAGCAAGCTTGATTGCTTTTTAATTGCTTATTTTATTATTTACCAGCTGTAGGCTTTAATGTGGAAAATGCTACAACTGCAAACTCACTTCTGTATTTAAAAAAATCTCTCATCAGTGGCTGAAGTTACTGTTCATTTCATAGCTCAGATAAAGAGCCATGAGTTACTCCTTTCATCATGTTTTCTCCTGTATTTGATAGTCACCTGCACTAATCTTCTGACAGATTTGCTGCCAATTCTTCCTTGCAAACCTTTTCTGCTTATCTGTGTTTTTTTTTATCTCCTACCCCGTGTATGCAAGTCAGATTTCTTATGACACACTCCCAGTCCTTGTGCCCACACTGTTATCACACAGGGAAATGTTCTTGCCAACCTAATCAGCCTCCCAGATGCTGGGTTTGGAGCCATTGGTCTGAGTTAGGAATTAGGAAGGGCAGAACAAGTTTGGGCATATTCTAGATAACTGTGGGATGAATCTCTAACCACCAGCTGTGCCATTCTGGAAGCCAGGATGGGCTGGTAACTCTTCATCTGGCCACTCCTCCAACCTGGAGAGAGGGTTAAGAGGAAGCTGCTCCAAGGTGTCAGTCTTCTGAAAAGTTGGGTTCAGATTATTTCAATTTACACGTGTTCTTTTATTCAGAAGGTAAAAAAAAAAACTAACCCCAAAAAACAGGAGAGGAAAAGGAAAAGCTGCTCTTCTTCCAAGGTTAAAAAGTGGAGTCATGCCCCGTTAAGGCTGTTGGTGATGAAGTGCTGACATCCTGCCTCTGCACCTCCTGTCAGCAAGGGCAGGGAAAACAAGCAGGAGTCCTGGTGCAGGCTGGTGTTCTGACTTGTAGATGGGAGTATGATCTGGAAACATTTCCTTGGCAAATTGAAGAGAAATCCTTGAAAGCAGCTGTGGAGGAAGTGCTGGTGGAGGTGGCACTTCCAGGTATTTTCAGGTTTGTCTGGGCCAGATCCCAGCAGGAGAGAAGTGTGCACATGTGGGATAAGCAGGGCAGTTTGGGAAAGCAGTGAGTAGCTGAAGACAGTTGCTGGCAGATGGAGACTCTGGGGGCAAAAGAAGGGAAGTAGTGAGGAGTAGATGTCTAATTCCTTTCACTGGCCAGAGTTCTTCCCTCCCACTGTGCAGCAGACAGTGGAACACTTGAGTGGAGATGATAAAAAAATATTGAGACTGCAAAAAGTGGCACTTTTTCCTAAACTAAAGTAGTGTCTAGAGATCAGAGCTGACAGCCAGGAGTGCTGAGGGAGAACAAGAGCAGAGGGTGAAGTGTCTGTTGGAGGACAGGCCCTGCCCTGCTGCCTGCCCTGGGTGGGTGGGAGTTCTGCTGGCAGCCCTGGATGTTTGTCCATTAAATCAGCCTCAGGATGTGGGAGGGAAGAAGGTCACCCATGGACAGGGCAGCACTTTGGCGTGAGCCTCTTCCTGCCCAGGTCGACTCAAGCTGGGCACAGAAGGTGCAGGCAGGAGTAGGATCCTCCCTCTCCTCCTCTGGTTTATTGGTACAAGTGGGGAACAGAAGCACAGGGATCAAAGCCAATGTTTTTGGTTAAGTATGTAGGCTAAGAATGGGGATTTAATGCAAACAAGACACCTACAAACTGCCTGTCAGGTGTCATTAAAATCCCTGCAGGCATCTTGGTTTTGGGGTCGTAATTAAGTTTCTAGTCAAGCTGCAAACTGATGCCCTGTTGGATTTGATAACCCTGGGTACGTTTCCTCCTTCAATAGAAATGTCTCAAAAGCACATGAAGTGACAAAACCAACCCCACACACTTCACTGTGTGCAGTGGGGCTGTATGTGCCTGTGGCTGGATGATAAAGACCCCAGGAGGAATTCATCAACCACTTAAGCTGCAGTCACTGATAAATGGCAAGCACCTGGAAGCAGAAGAAACTGGACCCTTCTCAAGCCAGTTCCTTCCCTCTGTAGAAGTGCCACTGGCCTGAGGGTGGTGAGGACACACATGTGCACAAGCCTTTGCCTGAGGCTACAGAGCAGTAACGGAAGGGCCAAAGGCACTGAGCAGATTTGGAATTCTCGGGGTTTCCAGCCCATGACACCAGTTGTGATGTCTGTTTTATTTCAGTGCAGCTATTTCAAGAACTTTTTTTTTTTGTTTCTTCCTGTCCATCAGCTCTTGGGGAGATTTCTTACTGGATGCAATTCCTGGCCTGGTGTTTGACACAGCAAAAGATGACGTGGCGCTGCGGACGAGCATCCCGAGGCAACTGCTGATGGTGGGTAGGTGGGACTGAGGGAATAATGGGGCACCCTGGTGGAACTTCAGCACTTGATCTGCTCTGAAGGCTCAGTGCAATGGCACTGCCTTGTCTAGCAGCCCAGCCACTTCTTTTGAAGTCCTCAGGACGACTCTTCTGAGGTTGGCTCCATCTCAAGCATTGCCTAATTCATTACACTGCTTTTCTTTCCTATCGCAGTGTCCTTGTAGGGCTTGTTCCCTTCTGAAAGTAATGCTATTTGCTTGGGATCTGTCAGAAAGGCATAATTCCTCTGAGGCCAAGCTTTTCAGTCTTTAGAAGTTAGTGGATATGTAAATTGTTGTGTGACCTCTTTATGGTGATCCTGTCGTGCTGATCAGCTCCAGGAGGAACAAGTGTCTCTTCAACTGCATTTGCTTGTCCTTTAGCATTGCAGTAGCCCCAGAGCAAGGGAAAATGAGCTTTCATGGGGAATGTGTAAAACAAACAAAGGTGGTTGTTTTGGGACTAAGTGTTAACCTTGCAAAGATAAAAGAGGAGTGTCCAGAGTTTTACAGCATTTCTGTACTGGCTTAGGCCTGATCTGTGCAGCTTGAATTCACGTGGGGATATTTAGCAGGTGAATGCAGCTGACTCCACCAAAAAGCTGAGCAGCCTTTTGAGGAGGCTTGCAGACCACCTGGACCACACCAGGGAACTGAGGTCGTCTGACATGAAGAAGGACTTCATTGTGCACCGGCTGCCGCCTTGCTTGGGATGTGACTCCGATTCCTTGACTCCAGGTGGGCTTTGAAGTTACTAAAACTGGCTGATGCCATGGTAGAGCTGTTGCTAACTCTGCTCCTCTTGGGGACTTTTAGTATTTTGTGGTAGGCAAAGATCCCAGTCCAGCATCAGCTTCGTGTGCCGTGAGGCCCCACGTGTGTGTTTGCTCCCCGTGTCCAGTGGGAGAGATGACACTCCCTTCGAGTGGAATAAAGATTATCCTAGACTGGAACTGGCAGCTGTGATCAACTGTATCCCGAGAGCATTTAACTGGGAGCAGTTTTCCCTGGGCTCTAGCTTGCTATTTATTATAGTTATTTGCAGACAGGAAAGGTGAGAGAATTAAAAAATCTCTTTCTCCTTGCCCCCTCCACAACCAGTTTGAGGACATGTGGGTGTTGAAACATAGCTTAACAAACAGTCCAGCCTTGAGAGAGTGGGGAGAGCACAGGGGGGCTCAGTTGAACCGTTTGTCTGGTTTTCTGCCTTTCTAAGGAGGATTTATTTTTCTTAGGTGGGAAATTGCCAAAAATAGACAGCAAAATCAGACTGCAGTTCAGAGATCACACTCTCATCTCCGTGGAACCAGATCAAGAGAATGCTGTGGGTACAGTGAAGCCACCTCTGTACATTTGGGGTGGGCTGGGGAGTGCATGTGAGGCATGTGAGTTGTTGCTCTCCTGTGCAAAAGGTCTGTAAGGGTCATGCAGTTACACTGAGCTGGATCCTGCATCCCATTAGGGTTTGTTAGGATACTGTGGGGTTGTTTGTTGAGTGATATGGCACATTCCAAACTTCTGGAGGGGGGGCTTCAAAACTAAATTCAGCCTATGATTCTGTATGGGAGGTACATGGCTTTTGTCTCAGGTTTGATGGGGTAGATCATTACAGCAGCTAAATGGCCTCTACAGGTCTTGATAATAGGTTTTTTTTCTATTCTTTGTATTTAAGAACAGGAATAATTTATAAAAATAGGTTTTCTCAAGAGAGGGAATTCTGCTGGTTGCAGCTGCTGCTGTGGCTGCATTTAGTCTTCACTTCTGGGTTATCTCTGTATCCAAGCAGGTGCCAGGGGCACTACTAAGTTGTTCCACAACATTGGTACATGCATCTTGCATTATGCTGTGTTTATACTGCTTCTTATCCATGAAGGTTTTTTAGTAAAAAAAAGGGGGGCGGGACACACAGCAAAGATTATCTTGTACAGTTTGGGGTTTGTTTGGATGAATTGAATGTTTCCCAAGAAAAACACACCATAACTTTCTGATTTTTTCCTCCATCTTGCTTGTGTCCATATTGAGACTGTGTAGGTTTTGGAGACTCTTTCCCCCCAGTTTTTGGGCCACCTTGCCTTCTGATGTCACACAGATCAACCCAGGATGACAGGACACATGGAAGACTTGTGTCCACAAATTCCATGTGCAACCTGCCCCGAGAGCTCTGAATTGCTTTGCACAGCTCTGACCAAGGACTGATGATGGGCATGTGATTTTTAAGAAGCAGATCAGTATCAGACTGGAAATGTGTCGAGGCACACCTGTTCATTAATACTTTCCCTGAAATGGCCTGTTTTCTGTACAGCATCACTCCTGGGACTCTAGCAGGGGCAGTTTTAAGGCAGAAGATGATTGTAAATAAATTTTCAGAGGTGTTTTGGAGAGTCCCTTATTGCTGTGGGAGGTGGCTGTTGGAAAATTCATTTGGGAGGGTGACTTGCATGCTTTGTTGTAAGAGTGACTCCAGACTTAAGGAGCATTGGCAAGTGCAGTGAGATGAGTCTGAGGCTGTGGATCACAGGTAACTGTTTCCTCCCTGCTGTCTTTTAGGATGAAATTCGCAGGGAGATGGTTTATGTGTATCATTCCTTAAGGAACAGGAGAGACACCCCCATGGTGGGGACAGATGACACTGCCAGTGAGGATGGCACGGCCCAGGTTTGTTCCTGCAGACACACCAAAAATTATCTTTCCATGGTGGGTTTTGCTGCATGAGATGAGCTTGCCCCAAATGGCAGCAGGGCCTGGGTTCTGCCGTGATCCTCAGCACCCAGAGCCTTTCTGCCCAGCCCTGCAGTGCCCAGATGAGCTGAGGCTGCACCACAGGGGCAGTTTAACAGTGGAACTGAGCAATGTGATCTCATGCTTAATTAGACACTCGAGATGTTAACAGGATTTCTGGTGCATGCCTTATGGCCCAGGGAGCAAAGCTACTGGAGCAACTAAAAGCAGTTCTTACTGGTGTGTCCTTAGCACATCCTCTACTGAGGCTACTGGATAGGCCAGCAGATATTCCCTAGGGATCACTGCCATGCTAAACTGTAAGGGGGGTACTTTTGAATTAGATGATCAATGGAGCAGAGAGGCGTGAGAACGGAATCATATTAGGATGTGAAACCAGCCAGAGTATGGTACAATGTAACTTCATGGCACAGGTTAATTGTAAGGTCCATTGTGCTTTTTAGCAAGTCAGCTTGATATCCCCTATTATCAGAGCTGAGTTCTTCCTTGGTTTTGCTACATATTGCAAGACAGATACATCTACCCTTGAAACACAATGGTAGAGGTCATCCATAGGGGTGAGAAAGATGATGATGGGAGGAAGATGATGTGGGCAGGGGTCACTCGCCCCTTGCCCTACAGCAGGGCATGCACAGACTGTTGCTATCAGGTGATGAACAGGCGGGGTTTGGCTGCCACTCAGGCATCACCTTATACTGGGTACTGGCCCTACGTGGTGTAATGTGGAGCTGATAAAATGGGGTGTCAGGACTGCTGGGGTGAGCGATCCTCATCCTGCCATGGAGACTGTGTTGCTCCGCGGGGACGCCCGCTAAGCACGGGCACCGACCAGCTGCTGCAGATCCTGGCAGCCCTGGCCTGTCTGTGTGGGTAAGCACAGTTTATTGACAGGAAGCAATTGAGAAAGCCACTGTTTTATATCCTTTTTTAATATCCTTGTAATTCCCTTTTTACTAGTTAATACTGTATTAAAAACCACTCGTAGTATTGTTTTAATATCCTTTAAATGTTCCTTTAATTCCCTTTTTACTAGTTAATACTATAATAAAAACCATTCATAGTATTGTATGAATGCCAACTGATAAAGCAGTTATTTTGTATTCTTTTTTAGCTTTTGATTCTCTTTGCTAGTTTTTTATTCGTACTGCAATAAAAGATTTTTTGTACTGTTTGAATGTCTGTTGTACTTGTCTTTATTCCGGGCATGTATTCAAATGAACTAATACACAGGGGCACAGCTCTTTGGGGCAGTAGACGGGCAGCAGCCTTGCCAGGACTTGGGGCAGTGGCAGGTCTCCTCTGGCCAGGACTTGCCACAACTGCTGATTTGGGTGCAGCCCTGGCCAAAGGGCTGCCAGCAGCATTGGTGCCCTTGCCCACACCTTCCTTCTCGGTGTCACCCCCCCATGTTTAGGATGGCCACCAGCCAGCACTTCTCCCAAGGAGGCCGTGCCAGCTTGTGTGGAAGGCCCCGTGCCCTTCCTGCTGCGACTGAGTCGGCGGCCGAGGGGGCTCCTTGTGCTGCCGTGAGCAGGCACAGGAGGGGAGTGTTTGCTCATTTCTTGAGCCGTTCCTACAGTTCAGGTCCAGCCAGATTAGATACTCAGAGAGCGGATTCCCTCCAAGGTGGGGCAGGTTGGCGGGGCTGGGGGAGGCCCCAGGCCACGTGGCACTGTGTCCCAGGGCCCTTTGTGACACGCTGGGCACGGCCGGTGGGATGGAAGGGGGCAGGGTGTCCAAGGGCCCTTTATGACCCGCGGTGACAGAGGTGCTGCTGGTGACACGGCCACAGTGTCAACAGTGCTCCTCGGAGCAGGCGACGGGACAGGACGGGACAGAGCGGTGCTGTGCGGAGCCCCCGCGCAGCCAACTCGTGCCTTGCTGACCCGGAGCGTTTTGGAGGATTTTCTCATTTCCAGGTGACCTCGAGGCATTTCCACAGGATTTGGAGACCCGGAGTTTCTCCGAGGTGTCTCTAATCCCTGTGGCAGGTGCCCTTGAGACCCTTTTGCAGGACTTGGAGACCCGGAGTTTCTCCGAGGTGTCTCTAAGCCCTGTGGCAGGTGCTCTTAAGACCCTTTTGCAGGACTTGGAGACCCGGAGCTTCTCCGAGGTGTCTCCAATCCCTGCGGCAGGTGGCCTCCAGGCCATTCTGCAGGACTTAGGGCCCGGAGTTTCTCCGAGGTTCTCTTTCTCTCTTGCAGGTGCCCTGGACACCAGACTGTGGCATGGCAGGGAGACGCTTCAGCCTGCTCAGGCTGTTCCGGAGGAAGAAGGAGGAGGAAAGCCCTGGGGCTGCTCCAGCACAGCAGCCTGAAGAGGTGCAGCAGGTGCAGCCCCCGCAGGAGGGTGAGTGCTGGAGCTGGGCCACAGGGCTGGTGGCTGCAGTCCCCTTGGCCTCATCCTGTCCCATCCCCTCTGGACATGCCCAGGGAAAGGGAGGGGGGCAGAGGGGCTGATCTCCTGGCAGCCGTGCTCCATCCACTGGGCATCCCGGGGCTGGCCCTGCCTGCTCCTGGAGCCCAGGCCTGGGCTGTGTTCTCCGGCCTCTCCCGCACACCCTCAGCTCTGAGCACGCTCGCTCTTTGCCAGATGCAGGCCAGGAGCGGACAGAAGAGCAGCTCCGTGCCCGTGGCCGCTTCCGCAGGGCAGCACAGGTACCTGCAGCCATCCCCGCCTGGGCTGGGCCTGCTCTCACTGCTCAGCCCAGCACCGCTGTCGCAGCCCTCCAGGGGACATCCCTCTCTTCCCTGCCCTTCTTTCTCCTGCAGACATTTATGAAATTCATGGGCAGTCGGCGTAGAAAGGCCAGGATCACACCAGCTGATGTCCAGGCCCAGCCTGACACCATCCCGACCCAGCTGACAAAGCCTGATGTCAGCACTGCGTCGACTGCTGTCCCAGCAAAGTGTGACACCGCAACCAGTGATCTCACAACCCACTGGGACACCACGTCCACCGATGATGTGTCACACTGTGACTCTGTGCTGCCTGGGCTCACGGAGGAGGCCGACGCCACAACGACGGAGGGCGTGGCGAGCACTGACGCCGCGCCTGTTCAGCGCCTGGCCGATACCCCCAGCCTGGAGTTTCTTGAGGAGAGAGCTGTCTCTGCTGAAGTAAGCAGCCTGTGGCCCCCCAAGCTGGGTGCGCTGGGCCCCCTCAGCCTTTGAGGCTGGCACAGTGTGCTGGGAAGGGAAGCATTTCTCAGGGGAAGCTGGGCCAGTTGCTCACTCTGGCAGCTCTCCACCTCTCCCCTGTGCATCCTCCAGGCCAGACTGTGGGACCTGGGGACCTGGGGCTGCTCAAGGCATCTCCAGTCCCTGGGACAGGTGCCCTCGAGGCCAGACAGTGGGACTAGATGAGGCGAGGCATTTCCCAGGCTTCTCTCTTGCAGCTGCCTTCAAGGCACGACTGCAGGAATTGGAAAGCCAAAACTTTTCCATGGCATCTCTGCTGCAGGTAGCCATAACACCAGATGGAGACATGCAGCAGAGACCCCCCACGGTGCCCAAGCTGGCTTGGGTGAAGGAGGAGGAGAAGGAGGAAAGCCCTAGGGCTGCTCCAACACAGCAGCCTGAAGAGGTGCAGCAGGTGCAGCCCCCGCAGGAGGGTGAGTGCTGGAGCTGGGCCACAGGGCTGGTGGCTGCAGCCCCCTTGGCCTCATCCTGTCCCATCCCCTCTGGACATGCTCAGGGAAAGGGAGGGGGGCAGAGGGCCAGGGCTGATCTCCTGGCAGCCTTGCTCCATCCACTGGGCATCCCGGGGCTGGCCCTGCCTGCTCCTGGAGCCCAGGCCTGGGCTGTGTTCTCCGGCCTCTCCCGCACACCCTCAGCTCTGAGCACGCTCGCTCTTTGCCAGATGCAGGCCAGGAGCGGACAGAAGAGCAGCTCCGTGCCCGTGGCCGCTTCCGCAGGGCAGCACAGGTACCTGCAGCCATCCCCGCCTGGGCTGGGCCTGCTCTCACTGCTCAGCCCAGCACCGCTGTCGCAGCCCTCCAGGGGACATCCCTCTCTCTTCCTTGCCTTTCTCCTGTAGCTGGTTTGCAGATTCATCAGGTGCATTTGGCATGAAGAGGCCACTTTCATGGCCACTGGGGACACGGTAAACTTGGACCTCTTCAATGCCCAGACCAGCGCTGCCCTGCTGGATATGCTTGTGGAGAACGGTGTCTACAAAGCAAAGCAAGTAAGCAGCCTGTGGCCAGGGCTCCAGTCCCCCAGGGATGCTGTGGCCCCTCACGCCGGCTGCGCTGGGTCCCCTCAGCCTTTGAGACCAGCAGAGATTGGTGGCAAGGGGAGCACTTCTTGGGGGAAGCTGGGCAAGTTACTGGCTCTGGCAGCTCTCCAACTGTCCCCCGTGTCCCCTCCAGGTGCCGGCCATAGTCAGGTGCATCCACCAGTGGCTCACGTCCAATGTGTCTGATGAGCACAGGCTGGACAAGACTCTGGTCCTGCTGACTGAGGAACACCCCATGGATGTTGCAGTGACCCTGCTGCGCTCTGCCCCAGCCTGTAACAGGTATGGGACCCACCTGCCTTGAGGGCTCACCTGCCTTTAGACCCCATCCCCCTGGACAGCCTGTCCCAAATGGTGTGCCAGAGACATGGAGACTTCCAGGACACTCCAGCTCCTCTCTTTGCCAGCTTTGGCATGTCAGCCTCCAATCCTGAGGCCAGCCTGCCTCCCTGCCCCACAAGGCACCGTGGCTCTGTCACCTGGGCCCCGCAGCTGCCCAGGCCACAGAGCTGTGTCCCAGACCCCCCTGAGGCAGAGTTGTGACTCCACAGAGCTGCTCGCACCATGTGGAAGACGCTCATCTCCTCCAGATGGACTAAGGAGCCGGTGCTGCAGATCCTCTTCCGTGTGCTGGAATACTGGCCAGCGCACAGGAGACGCACCTCTGATGGGGATGAGAGGGATGTCTTTGCCCTGGCTGTGAGTTTCTTGAGCTGGCCTCTGCTCGCCCCCAGGTTGCCTCTGGGACGCCTTTCCATCCTCCCTCACCACTGCTTCTCCCTGCCCCAGGCACTGGGCTGCAAGCCTGGCTTAGGGGCAGGTTCAGGGA